GGGTAGTTACTCTGGATCTGAGCAGCTGAACGGAGGATTTTGCTGGGGTTACAGTAGCCTGGCAGTGATCTCAGTGTCTAGAGAGGTCAGGTTGCCGAAAGTTTGAGATTTTGTATGGTGTTCACTTGTGTTGTCTGTATGGTGCAGAAGCTCTTTCCTCTGAAAACGGGATTACCTCCACAGCTGTAATAAAGACTACTCAGAACTGCAAAAGTAAAACATGAATGCTTCAAACTTTGTAGATTTGTTGTTTTTCTATACCTTTTGTTTTTAATTTCTGCCAAGTGTTTTTGATGATGAGTATTGGAATACTCTCCCTCTAAGTCATTTTATTTAGCTTTTTTTTTCTTGTAAAATTTGTTCACATTGCAATATAATGAAAGCTGAAATATTTTGATTACCATCTTTTCAGAAAATATCCCTGAATGAATGAGGAATAGTAATTTTAGCACTAGTATATTAAAAAAAAAAAAAAAAAAAAAAAGTAAAGACAGTGAAGTTAGCTTAGTTTTCCTTGTTTGTTTCTCACAGATGTGAATTCAAACATGTAGGTATGAAAAGAAGTTGGGAGTTTGCAAGTGTGACTGCTTGACCCTTGTTGGATCACATTAACGTTTCCTTTGAGTTTCAATTCAGCATTCTTTAGAAAAGGTTGGTTTTGCTCAAGTGTACCCTTGTTAGAAGTTAATGCTGTTTTTCACCAGGCACCTACACTAAATGAGAATGCTCATCTATTTCATATGCATGCTCATGTAATTAGGCATGTACTGATTTCTTTCTCTTTGGAAAATATTTCTGCAAATTAGCACTCCAATATGAAGAGTTAAGGTGATGTCATCTGTTGTTTAAGATAAAGATAGACATTATTATTTTTTATTAGATGCTTCATCCTTTGTTCTGAGAAGTGTTGATGTTTTCATTAGACTTAAAATGTGTTGCATGTTTATTGAAAGCATGAAATTTCAATATGCGAACCTATCAATTCTAATTATTTGACTCATTAGAACATAAGGGTTGGGTTTTTTTGCCTAAGGGTACACAAATGTACTACTGAATCTGGTTTTTAAGTTTTTTTTCCACTTTAATGTCTGAATCCAAATTCATAAAGAGTTGGAAAAATGAGATGTCTGAGCTATAGGATTCACAGGGATTTTATATGAAGCCTATTTAATCAGGATAACACTGCTATTAATATTCATAAAGTCAGCTGGAACACAAATGATGGACTATGGAGCCTAAAATTTTTTACTTGTGAATTTATTAAAAGCAGCTTAAAAAATTAATGGAATTTAAGTAAAGTTGACGAAAATGAAAATCTTATGTTAGCAGAAAAAATCTTTATTAGAACTTTCTCTAAGACCATCTTGCATTGATATCTTTGACAGATTTCATTGGCACTTAAAGAAGAAAGATGCATGAATGGTCATTTAAAAGGATTTAAACACATTGGCACATTAATTTTTACATGAATAATAAGTAGTTTCCAAAAGCAATTAACTTACAGTGTACAAGATTTGAATAGAAAAATAGGACTGTGACACAAAAGGGCAAAGCAAATGTGCTGTACATTTTAAACTTTTAATAATATGGCTTCTTAAACTGATTTATTTCATTTCCACCGTAGATATAGTAGCAGTGATGATATTTGTGTTCAGCTTTGGTTTCTTTTGAAATACACAAAGATGTGAAACAAAGGCATATTTTGATGCTGAAGTGCTACTGGCACAGAATTTCAGGCCTTAACATTGATTGTACCTTTTTGAAAAAAGCTTTTTTACTTTTTTTTCATTTGTGTTTGTGGAAAATGGATTCTGACCACCGTGTATGATTTTTCTCACGTACTGCTGTGTGCTGTGCTGGAAAAGCATTTGTTATTTCTGTAGAGGACAAAATAGGTAGATCTAGGATTTCTTCTATTGAGTGGGAAGATATTGGTTAATTTATATTCATATATGTAAATAGTTTTGTGCTTAATTATTTAGAGTGAATTTTACTTGATCAGTGCCTTTCATATTCAACAGATAAGTATCTTAGGTTTCTTTGCTTGATGAAGGAGTTGTCTTAACTAACAGAGGTTGCACTGAAGGAAGTTAGTAGTTAAAATTAACTCTAGATTTGGGGTTACAGTTCCTTTTTGTATTTTCCATTTTGTTTGGGTACAGTGATATACTTTATTATAATCTCCACCTTTAATTTCTTTTTATTATTAGATAGATCAGTAACATTGTATTCAAATGAAAGTGAAGAAAAGCCTGAAAATAAGTGTATTTTATTTATTTTAATTAATGATGACGGTTTTTGCTGAGAAAACCTTCACAGTTGTAGCCAGCTGCTGATTGTTGTTGGCTTGAAGGTTAACACTGAATAATAAAAGGCTCCGCTGAGAGAGACCGGGGAGCAGCCTTTCACAATCTAACAGGGCACTCACTATGGGATACAAGGGGACAGACTCTTTAGTGCGATCTGTTGATATAGGATAGGGAGAAATGATTTCAAACTAAATGAGGGAAGATTTAGACTGGACATAAGGTAAAAGGTATTTTTATGTAGGCAGTGGAACAGGTTGCCCAGAGGTGGAAGCCCCGTCCCTGGAGACATTCAAGCTCAGGCTGGAAGAGGCTTTGGGCATCGTCATCGAGCTGTTTGTGTCCCTGTTCATTGCAGGGATTTGGACTAGATGGCCTTTAAGCATCCCTTCCAACTTACATAATTCTAGGATTCAATAATGTTTTGTAAGTTTGGGTTCTAAACATACCTGACCTTTTGAAATACGCTTTATAAAGCTTTATCTTGAATGATACTTGAGTGTTGTGTATAAGTTAGATATGCGTTGGAGTGTCTGTATTCAGAACAACCAGTTTACTTTGTGTACTGAAAGTTTGTTCTTATATTTAACATCAATTTCTTTCTAATAGTAGGGAAATTATACTGAGAACCATAGGGAGTGGCAAAAGGTCTTTGTTTCTCTTTAATCAAAAGGTTACATTAGTATGGTATCAAAAATATTTTTATTCTCTCTGACTTAAAAACAATTCATTCCTATTAGTTAGCAGAATGTATTTCTGCTATTGAAGACTGAATATCTTAAAGACTCCTGACTTCTTTCTCTAATATGCATTTCATATCCATAATTTCCAGGAGAGGGCAGCATTTTCCTACATCAGGTCCTTGAAAGAACATGCCCTGCTCAGACTGTCAATGTTTCTTGTAATTACTCCCAGTATATTTGTTGCTTGCTTATGAATTAACTTGCATTTATGGAACTAAATCATTCCAATCATTTAATTACACCTGAGGAGCTGAACTATAATTGCTTGCTTCCAACTAGGATCTGATATGGCTTGAGCAGTATTAATTTGGTGTTTACTTTTCTGAGTGCTAAAAGCATTAAAATGATTGTGCAATGGGATTACATTTTACTAATTGCTGGCATTCATTAGCTGGGTAAATGGCGAGGAAGAATGACTGTATATTGTGGAGGGATAAAATTATGGTTTTAAATAGTATATTACTAGGCACATTAAGGCCCTAAGACATGTTTTAAAATACTCCAGAGGTTATTAAATACCGTATTTTCTTCATGTCTTGCTATATGACTATCTTATTAAAATACTGCAATTATTATGAACCTTTTTGTGCAATATGTCAGGAAATGGCTTCATTGACAGAAACCTACTGCTTGATATTAATAACCTTCTAAATTTTAAGCTAATCCAAAAGTAAATGAGGAACTTAGGAAAAGATTGACAACTCCAAATCAACACAGTTATACAGAATTGAAAAAGAAGTGTACAGCTTCATTTGAGGAACTTCTGTAAGGAGCTTGGAGTTCTGCAATTTAGAGTGAAGACTTTTTTTTTTTGTTAGGACCTAAGCACATCAAATCAACACTTTCTTATTTGTTATTAATTATAAATAGACGCAATATGAGCTAGATATGTATTTCTGGAGTACGTGTTAGTCTTGAATCATAAGTGTTTGAAAAAAAAACACTTTCTTCTTCTGCAGTATTTGTAAAAAAATTTATGTCCTGGTGAAACTCACTTGAATTTTCAAATATTTTCTTAATTTTATTGTTGTTGTTTTAATTATTACACTTATCAGCACAATGACAGTTGTATTTTCATGATTGAGTCACTGCTTCTTCAAGTAATGTGTTCTATCTTGTAATAAATTTAAGAAAAAAATTCATGAGAAGACATACAAAATAAACATAATGATGCAGTGAAGGATGAAAAATTATTCTTTGTATAATACATTCTAAAGGAGATGTTTGAGCAAATAATAAAATTGTTACTATATTAATAAGATTACTAATTTACTAATTTATTTATATTTTCATGAAATATGTAATATAATTTGATTTTTATCCTATAAGAGAACATATATTTTAACATAAAAATGTTACGTAGTAAGTCTAACTTTATATTGAAGGGCTTATTTTTGAATGATAGGGATTATCTTTCGCAATGATGTTATTAACTGTATAGTCTGAAGCAACATGTAACCCATAGTAGGATGGGTTAAATTATTTAGCTGTTTTAAAAAGTCTGCAAATTCAGAGGTGCAGTAGTCAAGGACTACTTCACCTCTGTTTTATCCAGGAAATTCAGACAGGTGAAAGAATTGCAGCACGTTCTGCCATCTGTAATAAGTGCCAAAATCTCATTGCCTCAGGTGTGGTTTGTGCTGTTGCTCAGTAGCATGTCCTTCCAAGACCAGACTCTAGAACAAGAAGACAAACATAAATTTTGCCATGAAGGCATTGCATACAGTAGAAAGCTAAAGCAAATTAATAGAAAAAAATAGATACGTGAAGAAAAAAAAATATTTTACCGAGAAAAATAAATTCTCACTTTTAGAGTACGTGGACTTTATTGTGCTATTATAAATATCCTAAAATCATTTGTCTTTAAATTTTATGTCAAATGAAAGCAAAGTATAGGTGTGTTATAATGTATTGTTTCAAGTTTATTTATCTAGAGTTTGCTTTATTTTAGCTCTGAAATGTTGGAGGAAAAACTGGAACTAGTGCCAGATCAAACAACTTGAGAAGAACAAATGGAGAACTTGTCTGAAGGTAAGGACTTCTAAGATATTAATAAGGAACCTCAGGTGTTTTACCAGTGCTAGGCAGTGACTGGAATGTATTTGTTCTTGCCGATACATAGCTGACTTTGGAAGTAAAGGAAAAAAGGAAAGAAAAAAATACACCGCCTCTTAAAAGTGTTTGGGTTAACAGGAGAGCAACTACAAATACGATTCTTCCCAGACTTCTGTATATGTACATGCAAAGTAACAAATGTCGTTTATCAGCTTAACTTTACTTTATGAGTTATGAAACTACTTTATTAAAATTCTGAGAAGTATAATTTTAATTCTTAGCCTGTGTATTGTACTTAGTAAAAATGTGGGGAAGTAAACAACAAACATGAAGGCTATCTCTAACTTTCTTGTCTATTCACACCTGGCTAAAGTACAGTTAAGACATCCACTAATATTCAGTAATTTCTTACTACTATCTCAACCACATACATATAGGCAGTAATGAGGTTGAGAGGGCTTTGGTTTGTTTGTTTGGAAGGAACTTCACCACTTCCGTGGTTCAGAGAGTTTTGAACTTCATCAGGACAGAAGGATATTTTTGTATTTGGATGACCACGGTGTTGCTCTCAGATATTTTTTCTATGCTTTGTGAGAGAAAGTTTTACAAAGGCTGAGTTTGAGAGGATGCTACATGACTGACTTTGCAGAAGCGTCAGAAAGTGACCTGTATCTAGATAACAATATAAAAAGACTGAAGAAAGCATACACACAGGAAGGAGACATTCAGTACATCATAGAAGGGTGGATTTTTTCCAGGAGGTGGCTTTATGTGGATTGAAAAAATATGGAACAGGTGTGTTACATCAAAGATGCCTCCTGTATGGAAGACAGATAGTATTTTGTGTATTTCTTTTTTGGAATTTTATTGTTTTCTTTCAGAAGCCACAGTAAGTGACGAGTGTTTCCATAAGGAGAGTCTGATGTTTGGAACAGAGTAGAAACGCTTCTTCTTGGAGATTATACCTTTCTTAGTATTTACAGGAATTCCTTTCTATATTGTGTATGACAAACTACTTGTAGACCCAATTTAATCATGATATTTCGGGCTATTATTGAGATAACTTAAAAACGTTCTAGGATCAAATGCACTGAAAAAAGCAATAGTCGTGGTCTGTTAACTTAATGGAGAATGTATTCTGAGAATTTATGCTTTCAGTGTATTATGGCTTAGTCAGATTTAGTATTTTTAGACCTTTAGGGGTCAGCATACCCTAAGAATGGTTCAAAAGGTTAACTTTTCCAGAGTGGGCTGCAAGTGAATACTATAAACTGATTCTCTGTGAAATGTTTTCTATCCATTTGCAAGAAATGCTGTTCTGCAGCTCTCAGATACTTTAAAAACTGGATATTTGCTGAGTTTCATATGCATTATTTTTCTGATGCCTTAAATTAACATTTTGTGCTGTTAAGAAAGCTATTTCTTCTAAGCTACCACTTACCTATTAGTGAATCTAATAGAATTATTCATATGGTCACAGAAAAACTGGGAAGAAAAATTAATACCCTCTTATCTCTCTTTTTTTTTTTTTTTTTTTTTTTTTTTTTTTTTTTTGTATCAATCATCACATAATGTCTTTGTACTCTTAGGGAAGTTTAAAAAAAACTAGAGCAACTTTAAGTTTTCTGTTTAAATGTCTAAAGTTGAATTGTGTAATTTTCTGTGTTCTACTTTCTTTATCTGTGATATCTTTCCTTTTTGCAGTGGGTGCTGTACTGTAGCTGGCTGTTCCTACTCGCAAGTTCAAAAGCTCTTTTTAGAAAAAATCTAATAATATTCATTTTTAATAACATACTGAATAAATTGAGGTTTAATTTAGCTGGCTTGATGAAAATGCAGTTAAGCAATGAGAGTTATCTTTTTTAAATGCTAGGTACTGAGAAGTGGTAGGTTTGTGGTGGCTATGTGGGTTAATATGTAGCCTGTTAATAGGTGTTATAAAATATTTGAAAAATAAAGTCTATATTTAATATATCTGAAGTGTTTGAAAGTTGATAATTTGTTTTTAGCATTCTGGATTGTTTGGATCAGTAAGTCCAAGATTTATTATTTTGAGTTTGTATCTGATTAAATGTACTGTTTATTATTTACCATAGCACTCAGATTTTAAAAAGATAGTGACTTTTCTAACAATACTTGAGGGAATGTATTAGGGATGTTGGCAGCAGGCCAGTAAAGATTCTGTAATTTCGAAAGGAAAAATATTCAGAATAGAAACTGTAAAGCCTAGGATCATCATTTATTATAAAAATAAATTATAATAATAAAATTATATATAAATTATATTAGTAAATAGCTGCATCACTTAACGTTGTAGGGCTGTAGATGCACTCTGCACCTGGATTGCATTGTTACTTCTTCAGGGTTTACATGCATGAAAAAACATGCAGAAACATTAATAATGTGAAAATATAAAAGTATTCTTTCTGTCCTTAGATATATATTCATGACCTGATATGTCAATTTTACAAAAGAGTTATAATGATAGTGAAGCAGTAAGTGTTGAAATATTGGAAATTGTGTTTCATTTGACTCATGCCATGTACGGATTTGAATGAGTGAAGGTATACTTGTTTTTCACTGCTGTAGTGTTTTACTTGGGTCATATTTCTGAGTGAACATGTTTTTTAAGGACAAGGCAGAAATTAGGGTGAATTTTTAGAATACAGAATACTGTTTGGTCTGTTTTGACAACAACTTTACGATTTTGCTGATCTAGAATAAAATACATTGTGTAATTATTAGTTAAAATTCATAAGATGTTTGTTTTTAATGGGAAAGTGGTTGACTTCTTTTAAGAGATAGATGTTACATTTTTCAAGCAGGGGAATAATGCACATTTCTAAGTCGCTACTTAAAGCATCTACAGAAGTATGTGTCAATGAACCAGTTTCACCCTTAAGAATTTGTTGTCAGTTCTAAGTTATGATAAGTATGGACACTTTCACTATAGCTTGTTGTCCTGCAAGAGAATGTTTGCATGACTCATAAAAATACTTTAAAATTGCCTGCCTGGAAACTATAGTTCAGAGGAGATTTCAGTATGAAAGACAATGTAGATTGGAATGGGATTGCAGAATCAGATGGTGCAAGGAAGTCTGAAAAGTGTTGGATTAGGTGGTGAGCTGTTGCTTTCTAGTTTTGCTTCATCCAGGAGAAAGAGAGGAGAACAGCTATGCAAACCTAATGACCAAATTATCTGTATATAGAACTGCTTAGACACAAGTGCATGCCACAAGCTTATTTGTAGACAGTAGTTTTCACTGCATTGTGTATTTGTGCATTCATTTGTGTTGCAGGAGTGCATGGTGTTTTCTGTTAAGAATCTGGCCATAGCTTTCCTTGTATTGTCATGGTCATGACGTGTGTGTGTCTGTATTGCTTAGAAAAATACTTCTGCATTCTTTTGCTGCATAATGAATAATATTTCAGGGAATAAATACTCACTAGAATATTTTGTGCATTTATTTACTGCCATCTATAAATGCTCTTCATCATCAGCCATTACTTTTGTCTTCATGGTAATTGAGGCAGTGGCAGTCATATGCATAGGCTGAGTAAAATGTATAATCTTTTTTCACTAATTTCCTAGAAATGAAACTTCTGCCCCTCACCATTTATTTGTAAACTGTCATTAAGAAAAGCTAATTTTTCAAGCTGTGCAGTTATTCAATTTTTTGGGGGGGGGGCGGGGAGGGGAGGGGAGAGGGGTTGTAATATTTACAAGAATTTGTCTGGAATTACTGTTGTGTGACTTTAACACCCACCCACCAAGATGAAGGGGTAAAGGAAGCTTTAAAAGTACTGAGATGTTGTAAAGATTTTACTCATTTTTTTTTTTGTCTGATGATCTAGCTAGGTCAGAAAGCAATTGGTGGTAGAAGAGTTGCTTCCTCTTTCTCCAGAATACATCAGTTACAACTGCAGGATAGAGTAAATCTGAAGTTTTTCTTCCAAGGCTGCAGTAGAAGCAGAATAAACAGTTGTCATATTAAAGTCTGTTTCTTCTTTCACATGCCTCAAGATGAGATATTGTGAGTTTGTTCTTCCTTTCCTTCCCTGTTTTTAGTAATAAGGAATGCTGCTTATCTGGAAAAGGAGGAAGACCTGAAGGCTGCATGTGTATTTATGCAGAGGAATCCACATTATACACACAGAGACAGTATTCTCTTCAACATGTGATTCAATTTGTGTCTTGCATGGGTGTTGTGCTTTCAGCCTCAGGCTCGCTGCATGCTAGCTGCCCATTTTCAAGTGGTAAGAATGGTGGCAGGTTTCTCTGCAGAGTATAGGATGTAAAGATCTGCTGCTATCTAATCTTTCCTATAAATATAATTCCTCTTTCATACATATAAATTCTCATATTTCCTTTTCCTATCCCATTCTTTTCTTAAATATTTCTAGTATATTCTTAAATATAACACATTTGTACAGGCTGAGTGGAAAAAGACTTGTCATAAGAAGCACAAATAAGTTTTCAGTATCTGCCTGACTCATTCAAGTGTTGTGATGTGATTTTGTTAAAAAACTGAAAATACGAAGTGCCCAGTCTGCACCAAGTCCTGCAGGCAGTACAGATGGGGAGAGGGCACACCTTGAAGTATTGCACTTTGAATCTCCTTAGTGTTTAATATTTGAGTGCAGCTGACTTCAGAATGTCTTGAAATGTGCTTCAGGAAGGAGCAGCAGTTATTTCACAGTGATTGTTATGTGGTGCATCAAGAGGACCTTTAGAAGACTTGGCAAAAATGCAGAAATTTGGTTATTTTCTTCTTTAGAAACTTTTGCTGCTAGTACTTTATTAACTAGAATGACATTTAAGTTCAGCATGAAGGTGTAACAAAGGATTTTATTTAATAAATAAGCATGCCCTGGATCTCCAGAGTGCGTTGGAGATTCACTTCTGAGAGTCCATGTGTGTTTTTAGTAGAGGTATGCATGTATCAGGGTATGTGGATGAGGTGTCTTCCTGTCAC